AATAATAATCATCATCATCATCATCATCATCATCAAGGGAGAAGCATTCCAGAGAGGAACACAGTTATATCCTTCAGTCGACCATACAAATTACAACCTGATTGTACAATTTTCTTTAGCTACACAAAGAAATATACAGTGCAAGGGCATTCATGACTGGATACAAAATCAACAGCCTCTTTAGGTAGGCCATTATATTACTTGAGTTTGGTAAATCTAAAGGAGAACAGATACTGGACAATGATATTGTAATATTAATGTTGCACTAAACTCAGGAGTTAAATCTTAAAAAAGAACTCAAGCACCTTAACTGTTAACAAAAATGTGTCTTATTTGTGCATCACTCGGCTGTAGATCCTCAAATCATCTCTGAATTCATGCTGACACTGTCCCTCCTTCTGGAGGGTGGCTACGTTTGTTCCGCATGGTCTGTGTGTGTTGTAAAGTAGCCACCACTCCAAGCTCACTCCCGTACTGGACTACAATCTCATGTTTAGTTTAGTCATTTGTATTGAGATTGTAGTCCATTAGGGGAGCGAGCTTATAGTGGCGACCACTTCACAACAAGCACAAGGACCAGGGTGAAGAAAAGTAGCCACCCTCCAGAAGGAGGGACAGTGTCAGCATGAATTCAGAGATGATTTGAGGATCTACAGCCGAGTGATTCACAAAAAAGCTACATTCTACTAGGGTACTGCGTTTTCAAGATTTAACTTCTGAGTTTGGTGTTACATTAATGACCAGCTTGATTTGCAAAATCTCAGAAACTCATGGGGTTGACAGCTGTCATTTTCCCGTTTATGCTAGAACTCTCAAAGTCAGTATTTACTATACATACTAAATGGCAAAATTCTAAACATCATTATTGCATTAAAACCCATCAGTACATTGCATATTACATTAAAACAGGACTACCCCAATAAAACGTATATCGATAAGACTGTATTTACCTTTGGCCCTTCTGAAAATAAAGCAATCTTCATCAAGCATGCATCAGCTCATGTCTGTTGCACAGCATGTGACTGCAAATAACAAGCTACAAGCCTAAACCTTTTTACGATGAAAACTGCAATTCTGTTCCTTAAGAAAAAAATGTGATCTATTATAGTTTTTTTTTTATAACTGTAATAACTATTTTATGTATCAGAGATATCCATCTCCCAAATTACAGCAGGAAAAGAAGTGAAACGAAATAAATAAATCAAATAAAATAAAAAAAACACGCTCTCCACAGACAATGATAAAGTAGTTAGCGGATAATAAATATTTGTCAGGTCCTGTCACATCTGCACAAATTCTGCTATTAGTGAAGAGACGCTGCAGATAGAAATAAATAGAGGCCAGAAAATCAATGCATCTTCAGCTCAAGCAGTTGCTAAACACACAGAAAAACATCTTTATCCAACAAGCAGTGCGCTGCGAATATTCCCAAGTCTTGCCTTGCTGCAGCGGAGGAAAATTTAATCTTCCCAAATACTCATCAGGGCACTCCATCCTACAGAGCTGACAGCCCCACTTATAATTAATTATACAATTTCGATGGGAATATCGACTAAAGCTAGCCATATATCATAGCAAAAGTCAATAGCCATGGACACATTCAATCATGTCCCAGCCAATGATTACTACTCTTAAAATACAATAATTATTTTCAGGAGCCAGCTTGAATTAAATTTCTGTCAGGCCGGTACAAGACCAGTGCTTGATGAAGGATGCAATGGATTTTTTTGGGGTTGAATTTGGCCCGGGAACATTCATCCTTTAAGATAGGTAGTTTGTTTTTTAGCGATCATGGTGCTGCGTATTTAACTAGACCATGAAGATTGGATTATCTCCTCCGGCTCATTATATCATTCATCTTTCTCTGGCTTCTGAGGCTGTACATGAATGTTCTGTACTGTGCTCCTATCAAACAAGCAGCAGAGATACAGGCTTCTGGCTGTAAAACATTCTGTCTAAAGGCATTTATGTTCCTTTTTATTATTATTTTCTTAAACACGAAAACATAAGCAGTCATAAATATAAGATAATTGTCTGACAGACTACGTGACAGTTCTCTGGTTTGTAAACAATGGCAGATACCCTCAGCTTTCTGTTCTTGGGGGCTCATGACAGTTCTCTTGTTTATGAGCAGTGGCAGAAACCCTTAGCTTTGTGTTCTTGGGGGAGCTGGTGGTTGGTTCTTGATCCTGAGAGTGGGACACAATAATACTTATCGCGGGAATTTCATCTACAACTAATCCTAACTCCAAGGCTCATCCTAATCAAATCAATAAAACAAGTCCTTAACACTTAGGGGCATATTTATAAAGCAGCAACCCCACCATTTTCACAATTCAGGTAGATCTTTCAAGTGTATGTATTACATTACAGTGATTGAATGTTTGGTAAAAAGCACTGTTACTGGTTTATAAATTGTGCTGCTTTAGTGTATCTAAAGGAATTTGTTTTTAATTTTAGATGGAGAGTGGAAGAGTTACAAACCTTGTGAGGTTTTAATACTGCAAGAAAGAATCTCTCTTTGTCCTCTCATCAGGACTGAAAGTGAAAGAAAATGCAAAATTGTGAGTTGTCTACAATAGGGATAGAGGGATTATCTTCCAATTGGTCTGGTGGTAACTGTCTAGGAGGGGATTTCACTCAATTTAGAGAGATTTCCATTCACTTCCCACCGAATCTACAGGAGAGGAAGTAAAGAAAAATATCTTGAAAGAGACACAGTTGGCAAAAAAAAAAAAATGTCAGGGATTGTAACCATTCCCTACCAATGCAAATAGGAGAAAAACAAAAAAAAAAAAAAGGATTTTTAGATCCCTAAAAGCCCAGGAGCAATCTAGTAAAGTGCATCGTGAGAGGTAAAAGTGGAACCTTATCCGTACGGCCATCAGCTTGAAAAATGATGTCTCTGAAGCACTGAGAAATAGTGGAACGAGAAGCTGGACCCCTTTAGAGAGATCATCAGTAATGATGAAAAGAGTCAGTCTTTCTTTCTAATTGAAGCAGTGGCTGAGAGGTAAACCTGAACAGAGTGAACTATTTACAAGCAGTGAAGGGACAGAGACAGACCGAGAGAAGAACAATGTCTTAGATGTGGTGAAAAGCCACCTTAGGCGTGAAGAATGCTCTAGCCCTCAAAACTACCTTATCCTTGTGTAAAACCAAAAATTGTTCTTTACAAGCTAAAGCTGCCAGCTCTGACACAGGTCTTGCAGAGGGGATAGCAACAAGGAATGCAACCGTGTTAGAGTTGAAAGGGGAAAATCTCTAATAGGTTCAAAAGGCATCTTTGAAATGCTGACTGAAACAATGTAGATCCCATGTCTAGTCACATGAGGTTGTACAGGTAAAGCCACAAGAGAGATGACCTGTACAAAGGTCTTGCTCAAAGAATGGGTGGCTAGTGGTCTATGGAGTAAGATTGCAAGGGCTAAAATGTGACCCTTGAAGTACTCAGGGCCTTATGTTGTACTAAACTAGATTGAAAAAAAGTTTAGGAATTGTCCCATGGAGTATTTCCTTTCGTGAATCTTTCTTTCCTTGCACCAAAATAAGTAAGCCTTGTGTTATGGCAGACCTTGCAGGGGGTAGACTTCCTAACTTTCAAATGCATGGAAATAAATAACTCCAGAGACCCATCTCTCAAGATCTGGGCTTCAACAGCAATGCCGTTAAAGGCAGCAGGGTGATGAACTGGACCATGTGATAGGAGTGCTAGTAGATCTGGAACAGCCCACCAGGTGTCAGCCAGAAGACTGATCAGGTGGGAGAACTATTTTTTCCTGGGCTTTTTGTGTGGGAAGCAGGGAGGGGGCGACAAGCTTCATCAATAGTGCCGGAGCCTTGCCTGTTACAATGTCCTTGGAGGAAGGTTGCCAGATCAAGCCTGTATGTCCATCTGAATTCTAAACCTAACTACAGTTCCAAATTCTTGGTAATTTTCGAACTTATTTTTTTATTCGCCAAGGCAATCTAGTTAAAAATTTCCTGACCTATAAACCTGCCATTACGATATAGTATAATTCTCCTTGCTGGAGTTTTCCTTTATTTCACATAGTAAATAATGCAGAGGGTTCAGTGGGACTTCAATATACATGAGGAAGAACATGGATATATCTGGAAAACAAAAATAAACTGTAGATCTATAGCATTTATTTATGGTAGGTGCAAACATGGATGGAGGACATAAGGTGAAGTTGGGAGCGAACACTTCTTCCAGCAGCATTCTGAACAAACATAAGCTGAATAGAAGGCCATTCAGGAACATGCACTTGGGAGCCTCTATTTTAGCAGTGTTTTGTTTTATGCAAAGTGTTCTCTGCCGAGCCCTCCTGGTTTATTAATAAACAACAGGAAACATACAAGATAATGTACACAGGCATTTATGGCTATCTGTGTTAAATGCACTAATGGCTTCCATTTGGTACAAGCAACACATGCCCATCGAAAACTCTCTATGTGAGGAAGTTTAATTGCTATTTAACCCCAGGTTGGCAAGATGTTCCCTGACTTTTTGCCCTTGTAACCAGATAGTAAAAAATGTAAGGAAGCCTCTTCTAAAGATGATGCACAAGAAAGCCCGCAAACAGTTTGCTGAAGACAAGCAGACTAAGGACATGGATTACTGGAACCATGTCCCGTGATCTGATGAGACCAAGATAAACTTGGTTCAGATGGTGTCAAGCGTGTGTGGCGGCAACCAGGTAAGGAGTACAAGTGTGTCTTGCCTACAGTCAAGCATGGTGGTGGGAGTGTCATGGTCTGGGGCTGCATGAGTGCTTCCGGCACTGGGGAGCTACAGTTCCTTGAGGGAACCATGAATGCCAAAATATACTGTGGCATACTGAAGCAGAGCATGATCCCTAAACCCTATTGAGCATCTGTGGGGCATCCTCAAAGGGAAGGTGGAGGAGTGCAAGGTCTCTAACATTGACCGGCTCCGTGATGTCGTCATGGAGGAGTGGAAGAGGACTACAGTGGCAACCTGTGAAGCTCTGGTGAACTCCATGCCCAAGAGGGATGTTATCTCTAAAGACTTCTTGATTAAAATATTCAAATAATTTCTTTTCTATTTGAAGCACTACCTGGAAGAAAGAAAAGAAAGTGCAAGTTAATCAGCGGCCTGTGATTAAACACTTCTGTTTTTTTCAAGCTTGATACACAGCATGGGTGAATGTGCGCACGGATGTTTGCAAAAATACTATTAGAGCTGCATAGTTGGGTTACTCTCATGAGCAATTATGCCAGTCATTGCTCATGAGAGTAACCCAACTATGCAGCTCTAATAGTATTTTTGCAGCAGTATGCCCAAGCTTAACTGTGCACATGGGAGGTCGGCTTCTTCAAGTTATTGCGGCTTAAGCTGAACACTGACATGAAAGAGCAAATGGGCGTAAACAACCTGACCACTGGCAGATTTTTTTTTTAATGGTTTTGAAACCGAGCGCATGTATATAGGCACTCCCCCAGCATGCACCACTGGCCATGAAACTTCCAGTGATTGGCTGGTAAGACAGACACTCAAAACGTTCTCCCAATGGCTGCCATACACTGCAGCAGGGTCACCCACTACAGGTTGGTACAATCAATAACACCTGGAATGAACTAGATTATTGCCAACTATAAATCAGCTAATTACAGCTCTAGCAATGCTAAAAACCCAGTAGTCACGCCATAGAAGGTGGTAGGGACTAATACATTATATATAATTTATTAGGTATGCATAGATACCGGTTTTCGGTATCTAGAACGAGTACCAATATTTATTTTTTGGTACTCGCCGATACAGAGTAACAATACTGGTACTTACGCTAACAAGAAGCCGGCTTCCTGGGCAATCAGGAAGCCAGGCGGCGTGTCATTACCCACCGCCAAGTTTCTTGAGTGCCCAAGAAGCGAGCTCCATGCTGATTGGCCGGGAAGCTTCCCAGCCAATCAGGAAGCCAGGCAGAGGGTCATTACCTGACGCCCGGCTTCCTGAATGGCCAAGAAGCCGGCTCTATACTGTTTGGCCGGGAAGGCGGCTTCCCAGCCAATCAGCATCGACCTGGCTGTTTGGCCACCTCAATGCTGATTGGCCGGGAAGCCAGGTTCCCGGCCAATCAGCATGGAGCCGGCTTCCCGGCCAATCAGGCGGCCAGGAGGCGGGAAAGTAATAACATGACTTTATATTAACAATTCAGCATAAGACCTAGCCCTAACAAAACTTAATCCCTCTTCTACATACAGGTTCACTTACCTGTGGCACAATGAATTGCTTCCAGAGCCTTACTGCGCCAGATGTGGAACTCTGGGTTTACCTTCTTCCCCACATACTGGCAGCACGTGGTTAAGAAGTTACAGCAATTAGGGTAAGAGTTTACCCAACATAATTCTATGTTATTCTGCTACATTCAGTTATGGCAGATGCAGTTCTTTATGATTAGCTCTGCCAGATGATAATTTCCACCTTCTTCATTATGCTTTTGCCACTCAAGCTGCTGTGTTCCACCCAAACACCAAGTGGGAGGCTTCTCGGCCAATCAGGAACCCGGGAGGCAGGACATTACCTGCTGTGCGGCTTCCCGATTGGCTGGCTCAATGCTGATTTACTGGGGCGCTGCCCATCTCCCTGATTGGCCGGAAAGCTATCTGCATGTTCCCCTGGCAGCACTGCCGGTCAGAGGAAATCTCCCCTGACTGGAAGTTCCGGTATCGGAGGTAAATATCATACTCGCCCAAATACTCGGTATCGTTGCATCCCTATCTTGGTGATAGTAAAATAAATAATATGCCAATACCTTACGATCATTCTCAGATTCACGGAATATCAACTTGTCAACCATGCTGTTGTCAGATGAGTGAACAGTTTGCATTGTAGTTTTCGTGCAAAGCATCTAGAGGAACAGAAGAAATGGAAGATAATTAGTTTTAAGAGGTATTATGAAAAATCTATGCAAAAAATAAATAAATTATATATTATATATATTTAATACTTTCTAAGCCAAAGACCCACAAGAGGAATGCTGTACGTCGAGTAAAAGCTCCTGATATGCATGCATTTTCCACATAAGTGACTGACGGGATCAATGGCTGATGATCACTATGTCAACCAGGCAAATAGCATTTTCAGGAAGGCAAGGGCAGCCTACTTATTTATTTCAGAACAGGTTATCTCTAAACCATAACCCTTTCATGTCACAATGACATAGTTAACTGAAAGAAAATATGTAATCTGTCAGGATAACAAGAGTTTTTCCCACATCATAGTCAGACGATCGGTTATACCACTAAGGGGTTAAAACACTTAAGAGGGAACTTTTAATATCATGTATAAAGATTTTGGCTACAAATAATTTGAGGTACTAGTTTTAGCACATTCTTACACAAAGTTAAAATCTCCTGTAAAGAATACACTAATTCTGCCAGTGCCCACATTATAACTGGTACTAAATATGTTAAATTATCCAAATATTAACGTCTGTAATATGTACCATCTCTCTTCTTAGTACCAAAATCCCTTTAGGGTAAAGCAGACTCACCACAGAAAAAGATCTAACATTATTCCACAAACAAACCAGCATTTTATACCACTAATAAAAGGAAAATTATATTTTTCATATGCTGTAATTATAGTACTATAGATGATATGATATACAACCAAAAAGACATTAACAGAATAAGCAACACCAGCAGAACTAACTGGCACTAATCCAAAGCTAATAGTTTAATAGTTGAGCTGTATTAAGTGGTAATTAATATGTTTTTGCAGAATAAATTATCTGTGTAGACAAATGATGGGATAATACTGTGTAACAGCAGTGCACAGAATACTTGGTGGGTGCGTCCAAGTATTGTAGATGTATTCCACAAAATCTCCTCATTCAATACAAAATCAGTGTCAAAGCTAGAGATGACCATTCATTTTAACCATCTGTGTCTGCCTGCACTTCCTAATGCTGAGATCCAAAACTGAGCTTTTCCCAAGAGCCTTCTTCTGTGATACCGGCCATTGAAATTCAAAGCACAGATTAGCTAATCGGGTCAAGCCCCCAAAAAAGGGGGCCTTTGGTCTTAGGTGTCACAAATCAGTCTGGTTGCCTTTAAACAGCACACCAGATTAGAACACGCATTAAGACAAACCAGAGGGGTAAACCGGACACTTTCTAAAGCTGGTTTCTAAAGCTCTAACAAATCGCTCCATCTTTCACTCATTTAAACTTTCCAAATGAGGGTCAATATGCTCTTCCAGCATCCAAATGCTAATGCGCTTAAGTGTGCTTAAGCAGCTTTGCAAAGTGAAAAGACCAAAAAAAGGCCTTGAAAACCACAAGGGAGAACTCATGCCACAGTCACCAGGCATTGAAGCCATCCCAGAACGTTGACAATTCAACAAATTCATGATTTCGTTCCCTTCAAATTATTTGCTTCAGAAAGCATTTTTTTAAAAATTTCACCAGAAATGAAAAATGTACCCAACTAAATGATGAAAAACCATCAGAAGGAAAGTACGCAACCCATGACCACAAAATGTTATTGTACTACACAAAATCAGTACAATAATACCGTGGGTCATTCCATACACAATTGGGAGACTTGTTCTTTTGAACTGCCACAGTCGCAAGCACTGAAGCAGAACATTTTCAAGGGCATAAGCCCCTTTTTATCAAGGAACGTTTTAATGAAATCTGATTAATATCGATAGTTATTCAGCAGAACAATATAAGATAATACCTTCTATATAAAGTTGGATGTGGTCACTCCATGATGGAATATATTAAACCTCAAAATGACTGCCAATCACATATTGAACAAAACAACAGTGCTTAATTTAAGCGGAATGCATGTGAAGATATGATCGTTCCACACCGAAACATGCACATTCACTATTCAGCGCATAATAGGTAATCTACTTATAACCGCCTATGAAAAATGGAGAGGGTGGGCACAGACGCACAGCGTTCATGGATGTCAGTTCTTGGACTGCATCTTAGCTACTTTCTTACTGTAAGTAAAGTAGGCAAAGACGGAAGTGATTATATTTAGAAATTGAATTAGCTAGCTACAATTCCTGGTTTTCCTTAAAAACAAAATTTAAATACCTCCAAAAGATAAATACATAACTTTATTATCTTAGGTATAACAAAAGCACATAACACTTCAGCCCTAACAATAGCCATGACTTTGGATAAAGGGTTTTTTCCATTTTCCTAGATCACAGTTCTGGCTGGAAGTCAGCACAGGGCTCAACAATACCAAACCTATGAATTTTCCCAGCCATTAGGAACTTCTTAAGCAGCATAAAGGACACCTCTGATATTCAAGTGTAAACATTATATTTTATGTAAAGCTAACACAATTTCAGCAAAAAAAAAAAAAGAAAAGTGTAAAGTCCTGTGTATGTTGTGATGTCGGTAGCAGTCAGTCAAAAGAATACATAAGAGTAATACCGTGTAGATTAAGTCTGTGTAATAAACCTTGGAATTGATGCAGGTTGCTGTAGTAATCATTTATTTAAAAATATACATCTTGTATTAAATGAACAAATCAGGGCAGATATTAATATGTAAATCCAACAAATGCATTGACATCAAAGCATTGTATTATAGTCTTTTTGCTTTACTGCTGTATATTTATCTTTTTTTCTACATTGAAGACATCTTGCACATCTACAGATGAAAAAAAGCAAAAAAAAAAGCACACCTGTATTGAGAGAAATTCAGGTACTGCCACTGCCGTCTTCTTTCTGCAAATGATCCCCACAGACTTCAATGTGTCATAGAATGAGTAAGTAGCTTAGGAAAGGCATTGAACTGGAACAAGTATACAGTAAATGATGTCAGAACGTCTTCTTTTCATCCTTTTTTTTCTCGGACTAAAAGTACTGAAGGCAGAACATCTGCACAACATATATAACCAGCATTTCCAGAAGAGATATGCAATGGTAGAATACATATTTCATTTCACTCAATGCAGGTTTAAAAAAAAAAAAAAATTCAGTCATTAAGTTTAGCAACTCTGCTACAAAAAAAAAAAGATAAAATCGGATACATAATATGACATTTCAGAGTGTCCAATCCTGAACTGAATATTAGCTTCTTTCGCAATGTGAGATAGAAAGGGAAAAGTAACAACTGATGGTTTTTGTCATTTTATTTCAACAGGTACTCATTTTAATTATCCTGCTGATTAGACTGATGGCTTTAAAAAAATAAATCAGGTACAGTATTCGCTAATTTAAAAAAAATAAAATAGGACTAAAAATACAACTATGCAATGAACGCATAAGGTATGCACTGTATATCATAGCTATGACCAAAAGAAACACTGCTTCTAATGTCAGAAGACATGACTTGAGTTTAGAGTAGAGATAGACAGCCCTTCACTAGACATGGCCACACGAGTTGTCTGTTAGTAGCACAGATAACTGAATAAAGGAATTAACAGGGACAAGGAGGCAATAGAAATGCAGAGAGCCTGAAGAAGAAACACTTGAGAACTTAAAAACCCAAATCTGATCAAAGAATCCAGTAATGAGATCAGACTTTTGCTCTACTTGTAAATTAATCACACAATTGAGATCTTAAGAGTCTGGGAAAATAGTTTCCTATATGATCAAAAGAAAACAGAAGGGGTAAAAACTCTAATGAATAAAAAGTCTGATTGGGAAGCCAGCAAGGTTAGTTTTGCTCCTCTGGCTTTAAACTGAAACAGACAACAGACCTTACGGAAGAATAAAATGTGGCAGGTAATGTTTCGCTTAGTTCATAATTAATTTTCCTCATTGGTGAGTTGTGTGGACTAATGTAGCCAACTGCCTCTGCTTTCCTACAAATCATTGTTCAGGAATCAAAGAAGGACCATCACAGAGAAGTTTGTCTGCCTTCCTAATTTCTGACAGCATACAAACTAAAGGTGATAAGATGTAGAAAAGCCTTAAAGAGATGTCATATAAGATTAATGGAGGCTGCCATTGCTTAAAGTAGCTTTAAAGGCAGGGCTTTTTTTTTTACCTTAAAGGAGAACTATGGGGTTAATGTTTTTCCCCATAGTTCTCTTAAGGGTTACAGGAGGACTGGCGTCCTCCCCTTACCCAAAGCTCAGTATAGCGCGAGCAACAGCTCCCGCTATACTGAGACCGCCGCAGCCGAGACTTATCACGACAATGCTGTCAAGATTCAGCCTGCTGCGGGAATGACAGCTGGCTCTGCCTATCTAGAGGCAGAGCCAGCTGAACCTGCCCCCTCCCCTGTCCGTTCCTCCAGTCAGCGCTGGAGGATCGGAGAGGGAGGAATCCCTGCAGGGAGTGGTGACTGACAGTCACTGCTCTCCGCAGGGAGATGATCGAGAAGTGAGCGAGCGACGGTATGCGTTCACTCACTTCCCGATCTATTGAGCTAATGTGTGACAGTTTAATTGTCGCAAATTGGTTTGAACTATGAGGATGAGTGATTTTCACTCACCTCATAGTTCTCCTTTAATGCATTCTCTGCATTAGGGTAAAACACGCCCCAGTACCTTTATCTCTCCCCTGTCCCCCCCACACTTACCTGTCACCACCGCTGGTCCCAGCAGCGATTCTCCGTCCTGAGCTTCCTGGTTGCGGGGGAGAAGATTGAGTAAAGAGGAGCCTCAGGCTCCTTATGCCATCAAACAGTGGGTCGGAGAGAAGGGGCGTGGCTTGCTGCAGGGCTGTGTGTGTGTGTCTATGGATGCACACAGCCACTGTAGGCACGGCTGGGAACATGCATGCACAGGTGCCTCCACAGTAGTTGATTGAGGTACCCGTGCAGGGGGTGTGGTTTGAGTGCCACGGGGACCCACTAGAAAATGAGGAAGATAAACCTTTTTGAAGAAAAGTTACATACCTTTCATGCAAAGGTGGGCCTCCTAGTTC